TAGCCAACGCTGCGGCGGGGGCGAGGGGAGCGGGGGGGGGTGAGGGGGGGGGGCCCCCCACCACCACCACCGCCACCACCCGCAACCGCACCCCGGCGCCGGCGCCTTCTTCCGCTACATGCGGCAGCCGGTCAAGCAGGAGCTGGCCTGCAAGTGGCTGGAGGAGCCCTCGCAGCCGCCGGGCCGCGCCCAGAAGAGCTGCGACCGGCAGTTCAGCACCATGCACGAACTGGTCACCCACGTCACGCTGGAGCACGTCGGCGGCCCCGAGCAGAACAACCACGTGTGCTTCTGGGACGAGTGCGCCCGCCAGGGCAAGTCGTTCAAGGCGAAGTACAAGCTGGTCAACCACATCCGGGTCCACACGGGCGAGAAGCCCTTCCCCTGCCCCTTCCCGGGATGCGGGAAGATTTTCGCCCGCTCGGAGAACCTCAAAATCCATAAAAGGACCCACACAGGTAAGCGGGGGGGGGGGGGGGGGGGGGGGGGGGGAGCGCACGCTCCACCCGGCGGCTGCCTTGCGCTCCACCTGCGGAGCCCGGGTGCGCTTCTCTGGGCTCGGTTTTCTCGCAGGCAGCGGCGAACCGGCTGGTTTCGGCTGCGAGCTCAGCCTGCGTGTAAACGCAGCTCGGAAAGGGGTCTGCTGGAGGGGCTCAAAAAGAGAGAGACGGAGATGCGGCTGGGGAGGATGCAAGGGGTTTGCGGTGGCACTGGAGGGGGGGCGATCAAAGGATCGGATGAGGGAAGATGAAATGGGGCCGAAAGAAGCCCAAAGACCGCAGACCAACGACGGGCCGAGTTTGGGGGTGTTTTTACTTCGGGTCAAACGGGGAATCTCTTTTCCCCTTGCATTTCAGTTTGCCGTCGGGGCTGGTCAGTTTCACAGCCTGCTGTAAATTGGCGAAGTCTTGTCAGTTTCCTGAGAGGGCAAAGGAGCGCCCGTCTCGGTTTGGTTTTTTAAAATATTCGTGCAGGGTTTTTTTTGGGGGGGGGGCGCTATTTTTGTTTTCTTCCGTTCTCCCGAAATGAGATTTCAGAGGCTTTCTCTTCCCTCTGCCTCCTTAGCTTTCCCTCCTCGTTGCTCTCAGCCCCCCTCCTCCTCCTGGTGGGGGGGGTGCTTAATATGAGTCCAAGGGGGAGGGGGGCATTCATTGGAGGCGTGTGGATTGCTTTTTGAAAGAGACTTCGCTTTGCTCAGACATTCTGCTAAGCAAACCATACAGATGCAAATGGAATCTAATTTTCGCTTACTTCCGCTCTCTCTTTTAATGACTTGATTGGCACATCTTCTAATTAAATCAGTGATACTTTTTGCCCCGAGTATTCTTTTTCCTCTCCCCCACTTTTTTTTTTTTTTTTGGAGAAAGAGTTCAGC